CATTTGCTTTTCGGTAATCCAGATTGGAAGAACTCTACAATTAAGCGTACTTGACTTGTAGCAATTATGGGATGGGTGACCTCCTGAGAAATTTGCCCAAGAAGTGTGCGAGTGAGGAAAAAGCACACTGAAAAGTCTCATGTTAGTATATGGGGATAGTCGTTGATTCTTGAAGGGGCCAGGCGTTACATGCACAAAGACACTAAAAGGCCAGGTACACAACTCTAGAAGAAATTAAATGAAGCTTGAAAAGATTTGTAAATTTGCTTTGACTGTTGAAAGTAAAAAAAGAAAAGAAAAAATGATACATTAACCATTGAAAGGAATGTACATTGTGTAATATCAAACTCATCGTTACGATTCTTGGTAAAATACAGCCATTGTTCGAAAGCTTGGTAATATCATATATATAATAATATAAATGATTACCAAATATATATATATATATATATATATATATATATATATATATATATGGGAGGGTTTTTTTGACTCCAGAGTAAGACTTTTATGTCTTACTCTCCATCTCAGCCGTTGATGAACGAAAATCAATGGTTGTCATTTATAGTGTAATTAATAATTAATTAATTAATATAACTTCTTAAATTACAACCGTTGGATAGACAGGAATCAATGGCTAGGATGAGGAGTAAGAATTATAAGTCTTAGTCTGGAGTCAAATGATCTCTCTCCATATATATATTTATGATAAACTATCTTCAATTAAAAATTAAAAAAAAAACATAGAGACATACTCTGCATCATAAAATTATATTTGTCATTAAATTTTTTATTATTCGTATGGGTATACTTCAACCGACTTCTTTTAATTTATATGTATCTCAAAGTTTATTTTTTTTTTGTTTTTTTATAAACTACATGTTGATCTTTTGATCCTGATAATTTTCTGAAATCTTTTAATATTCTATTTTTTTCCTTAATCTTTTTACAATGGCTAATTTTTTCGTTTTCTGCAAAACGAGAAATGATTGAGAAAAAGAGACATATGTTCATGAAATCTCTTTCAAAAGATTTATTATTGCAGAGTTTTGGAGTCACTAACGTAATATTTCTTATAATTTATTATAAACGTCATTTAATATTAAGTAGCAAATCTCTTATTTATTTTATCTTTTAATTATTTCTTTAATAATTGTGTCCTAAAAAAAAATTATGAAATTTATTTAAAATTTACTTTAACTTTTATATGACAAACAGATTAATTTTTTTTTTCTCCGTACATCACACGCGTGATAAACTAGTTGTTAGGATTCTTGATGCAAGGTTTACATTAACATTTTATATTATCACTCTTTCCAATGATCATATCAATGCAAAGTAGTGGCAATTTGCCTGGCTTAATTATATAATAATTGAGCACTAGAGTCCTAGACCTATCTAATTTTCTTAGCCTCCATTTTAATTAGCGAAAACCAAAAAATCTGTCCTATTTTCAACAAACTTAAAGTCTTCGTTCGAGTTATCTACTTAAAAAAAAAAAAAAAAAAGTCTTCGTTCGAGTTTTGAAGCAACTAAGAACAACTATACGAGAGAGTGGGTATTACATAATACTTCGGTCGCTTGAAAGATCAATGACTATTCTCATGAATTATATGAGATTTTTAGTATCTTTTATTCTCACTCACAAATTTTTTGAAAAAACTTCACAGGGTGTCACCATTACATAATTGTTCCAAGTTAAACACGTTTAACTATGAAGTTCTTCCTTTTCGGGCTACCGAAAAGTAGATACATCTTGTTAGTATAGATACTACAAATTAATTTTTATAAATTATCTCCAACTATACCGTCCAATGCCAACATAATCTATGAAATTTCTCTCTTTCAGACGTTGATTCGATTTATTTATAATCTCTTCCGCTGGATATGCTAACTCTTCCAGTAATCATATATTCAATTATATATTAGCGCTTCTACTAACCGTTCAATCGTCAGGATTTTACACCATACATTATTGTAAAGCAACACACAAGTGACAATCCCAACTCAGTGAGAATGACTGAGTTAATTTTAAATTATCTGAACCAACACACAAGTCACAATCTCAACTCAGCTAGCTTCACAAACAATTAATTTAGTTAATATTCTAAGTAACTCAAAGGCCTCATAAAATAATCCTTCAAGTTTGAGATTCTCATCTAGTCATCCATGGCTGAAAATGTTTGTTTACATAACTTTCTTACTTCTATTAACTATGATTAAAATAAATAAATAAATTATGAATGCATTTTTTTATTATAAAATCATAATTTTTTCACTTAAAAGTTATAACCTCTTGTTTTTCTTCTCCTCCCGGCACCCACCTTAACTCACACAAAAGATAAGAAAGTTAAGTGAATGCAAGAAAGAATCAATTCAAATATAAGTGAACAAGTTCAAGGATTTTTTGCGTTAATTAGAGATAGGTACCTAACTATCAGTGGTGAATGCCAATCATTAAATTTTATCTTTTCAACTTAGCTACGGTTATTTTGGCCCTGCTTTTTTAATAATTTGTTCAAGCGTGAGAGATGCGTCAACCTAGTCTTTTAAAAATTCAACCAAAATGGGGTCCTAAACTAAACAAACACCTTGATGTATGAAACATTAATATAAATTTACATGGTTGAGAATTGGCTAGATTTCCCGCTTAAATGTGAGTGATTGGCGAGGAATGACTCATGCACGATGGAGATCTTGAAATGCACATTGTGGATTAGATTATAATTTCCTTCTTTGTGATCAATTTTTGGAAGATGGACTTATTAAATGAAGAAAAAACAAAATTACATATAGACGCAGGAATATGCGAATGTTAAAGCGAATGTTAACGGAGATTATTTTCTTTTATGCATATTAAAAAAGGGTTTTATTTTTCTTATGTTGCATGAGACAAGTTGTCTCATGCAACACACAAAAAGTCGGTGGGACCCACTTTTTTATTTTCTCTCTCTTCCTTTTTAGTGGGTCTCATTCATTTTTTGTGTGTTGCATAAGACAACTTGTCTCATGCAACATAAGAAAAATAAAACCCATTAAAAGATCACTGTTAATTTCTTTTTTTTTATTTTGAATTTAAATTATCTTAAATTAGTTGTACATATTTTATGTACAATTTTAAACCTTTTTCTCTTCTGATCTATATTTTGTGAATTCTACCTGAATTAATAATGCATATATTTTTTATAATTACAGAGATTTTTTCTCTTATATATTTTTCTTTTAATTTATATTTTTTAGATTTTATCTAAATTTAAAAATATTTGTGTAATAATTAATAACTACCCTTACATTACTCTCTCTCTCTTTTCAATAGGAATGAATCCTTTCATGTTAAAATTTCGCACGTCCTGGTCATATGAAATTTTTGTGTCTATCTGCATTCATTCCCCTTGCGCATTTGTTTGAAAAACAACTTTAGCGAGGCTTCCTTATACTTGTTAAATTAATACAAGGTGCGTGACTCATTGTCATCAAATTGGGTTGAATCATGACAAGTTCAAAAGAAATTCAATTTATGTTTTTGAGAGATGTCAAAATCAATGCCTCTTATCATTTCTCTAATTCATTTGACCAGTGGACGATGGTGCCATGTGTATGTAAGGAACCAATTAATGTTAAAATTTTAAAATGAGTCTCCAGAAAAAAAAATTAATGTTAAATAAAATAAATAAATTCCCACCCACGAATTTGAGAATATTTGTGTTTATCTGGAGTTTAATTTTGATACATGTCTATGAAAGTTTTTTCTATTATTATTTATTTTTTTAATTTTTTCACCGATACATCAATTATCCGACTAATGTGATTTGAATTTGGTTGAATAAAAAGAGCTCTTTGAGATTATTTTCTCCATTCTCATAACTCGAATTAGAGACGTCTCTTTAAGAAGAACAAGTTCCTTATCATCCAAGATTTTTATCTAATAAATTTAATCATATTAATAAAATAATATGATATATGAATGTAATAAAAAAAGTATACTTTACAATACTTTAAAACCAAGCTGATATTGTTACCAAAAAAAAAAACCAAGCTGATATCGAAGAAAAGATGGCATGGAATATGGATTTGTTTATCAAAAAAAAAAAGATGGCATGGATTGGACTGAATCACTTAAATGAATAATTGGCTGGGCTGATTGGCAACGCAAGAAGGCCGCATGAGTTTTGGACTGTTTTGTTGTGGGCCGGGGTCAAGTTACGTCATTATGCCACCATAATCTTTGTTGCATTTTCCAAGCCAAAAAAAAAACAACATGCATGTTGACACTTTTTTTGAGTAAAGATTGTCCATACGAATTCCGAATATTTCAAACCATGCGCATAGATTGACTATACAAACTTAAAAAGAATAAACAAGGACGATGAAATATATAAGACGGACACAACCATTAATTGTTAAATATTCAATCAACTAATTATAATATTCAACATAAAAATTAATGTTGGGCAATCCAATAAAGTTATACCCCCATCTGGTTTATGTCTGTCACTTGCAATATCTTTTCAATTTTATATGAGGCCCCACTTTGAGATTGGGTACATGCAAGGGAGGTCGTAAGTGGGGATGAACTTCAAGTTATACCTCTCAGTTGACTTTTCTATCTCCCTCTATTAATTCTCACAGTATCATATATATTAATGGTTTTATTAATCTTATGTTAAAGAAGATAAGTTATCTTATGTCATAGAGATAAATTTGTGGGTTCTACCATCTGAAAAAATAAAATAAAAAAATAACACAATTATCGAAAGATGTGTAGAAGAGAAAACTTATTTGATGTAGCATGAGAATAGTTTTTCTTATATATTAATATGTTTTAATTTGTTTGGGTGTGGGTTTGCTTCTGCAATATTATCACATAAAAGAAAAAAAAACTAAGCATATATGCTCTCAATATATAATATCTTTCTTATAACCTAAAAATTCAGAACAAAGAACGGCTTGCTACAAACCAAATCCACTTTGTATTATTATTGGAAGAACATATACCAACAATGATTTCAAGGGCCAACTCTGGCTTCCAAAGTGTCCATCAAGGGCTTGAGATGTTTCCTGTCACTGAAGATATGGTGTCACAATCTGTGGAGGTAAACTCTGGCTCAGGTTCACCCTCTAGTTCCCTACTCTTCAATCTCTCTGTTCTCAAAGACAAGCTTCATCAGGTGCAGACCCTGGTTGGTGTTATTCTCTCCCCTGATCAAAGCCTACCCGAGTCAACTTCCATAGCCATATCAAGCATGAACTCAACAATCCAAGAAATCATAGTAACTGCCACTTCAATGATGTTCACCTGCCAACAGATGGCTCTCAGTTTCCCTCCAGGTACTACTACCACTTGCATCATCAACAATGAATTGCACCAGCAACAATCTCATCATCATGACAAGTTGCCACACTCAAATTTAGGCAATAATAGGGGTGTGCTTAGTAACATAGGCACAGATATTAGAGGTCAGAGTTTATTTTCTAGTACTGATTCAGAGGCATTGGATTGGTTTGGTGAAAGCTATAATAATAATAATAAAAATAATATTAGTTGTAATAGTAATATTAAATATAAGCTGAAGGATGATGATAGAAAAACCAATAAAAGTAGGGGAGGATTGTGTAAAGGGGATGAAACTAATGAAGGTTATAGAGGGATTTCACCAAAGAATTCAGATATAATTGAATTGGATGCTGAGGATTTGTTGGCAAAGTACACTCATTATTGTCAAGTATGTGGCAAAGGGTTTAAGCGTGATGCGAATTTGAGGATGCACATGAGAGCTCATGGGGATGAGTATAAGACTAGTGCTGCCTTGAGTAACCCAATCAAGAATAGAGGGAACTTAGATTGTTTGGTGAGTATGAAACCCAAGAAATATTCATGTCCCCAAGAAGGGTGTAGGTGGAACCAAAAGCATGCCAAGTTTCAGCCATTGAAGTCCATGATTTGTGCTAAGAATCATTACAAGAGAAGCCATTGCCCCAAAATGTACGTGTGCAAGAGGTGCAACCAGAAGCAGTTCTCGGTGCTTTCTGATCTGAGGACCCATGAGAAGCATTGTGGGGATCTCAAGTGGCAGTGCTCGTGTGGCACTACATTTTCCAGAAAAGACAAGCTTATGGGTCATGTTGGTTTGTTCGTTGGACACCACCCAGCTATCACTGGCTTATCATACTCAAGCAAATTAGAGCAGCAGCCATTGCAAATGCAGATCGATGGTAGTTCAACATGATCATATTTATGTCTTCATGGTAATTGATCATGAATAGGTGCTCTCCCAACTTCACTCCAAAACTATTATCTCCTAATGTTTATGTCTTTGATGATTTAATTTACATACTATTAGTAATAGGCATTTTTCAAACTTTATTTTGTATATATATATATAAAGGGTTAAACATTTCTACAGCCACTTTATATAAGATTGTCTGCAGCTACTTTTTTAACTAAGTCTGACCAGTAAGATATAAAAATTGTTTTTTTTTTCTCTCTACCACGTCAGCTAACAATGTTTGAGAAGAAAGAAAAAAGAACAATTTTATTGTTATAACTAAGTCAGACTTGATTAAAAAGGAGTAGTTGTAGATAATGTTATTTAAAGTGGATGTAGAAATACTTTTTCCATGTATAAAATACATTTTGAGGTTTGAAAAAAAAAATGCATAGCATTATGAGAAAATTCTTGTTGCAATGGAGAATTAAAATTCTCAAAATGCCCTGTAATTTTTTTTTAAATCACAAAATGACTTCATTTTGGAGTTGTGGAAAGTAAATTTTTTCCAATATTGCTCCTTTCTAGAGCGCATGTATTAATTCAAATTTTCATCTCCATATATAACTCTAGGTGCAGCAGCTTCAGTATTTGTATATGAACATTTGGGATTGTTCATGCCTTGTTTTGTTGAATTGTGGTCTCGCTGCATATAGTTTGCTCCAACAGTTTGTGGCGCTGGCATGGCACTTCGGGATCATGGAATGGAAAGTATTTTGTCTTGCACTTCCTGAGGGTATTTCTTTAATGGATCTAAAACTTAGGTCACTAAGCATTCTCTTGTTATATATCTTCTCTTTTTCGGTTGGTGTTTTTTACTAATTACTTTGTAAGTATAGTGTAAAATTATTGGAAAATAATATTTTAAAGTGAGGAAATAAGTGTGTATTTACCTTTAATTTTTAGCGGATCATGATATACTTTACATTAAATTAAAGATAAAAACACACTTATTTATTTATTTTACAGACAAACTCACTTTAAAATAACTTTTTCTAAATTAGTTGGTGATGTCTAACATTGTATCCTGCATATGGAACATTTATTACTGTGTCCATGGGATTAATAAATAAAGTTGTATACGAAGTTTGTATATAAGCAGATGGGACTGTAATTGTTTTAGGGTTTAAGCCTCAAACTTGTCTGGCACTGTAATTTTAGAAGGTTTGGACCCTTTTTTTTATGGTGCAGATGCTGACTAAAACAATTTAATCCCCGGTAATATTGCTAGTCTTATCTATCGATAAGATTTGGAGATGGTTAAAGAAGGACTATATAGATTGTAAACTGTATTTTATACGCAATTAAACGAAAGCCAATGCGTTCGCAGTTTCGATGACATCTCACAGGTCACCTATCCTAACTGAGTTGGTCTCTTTCTTGTTATTCTTTTGATGCGAAGTGCCACGGTTACCTAGAAAAAGAAAAATTAACCACCAAGTTGTTTTAATTTAAATTTTAATTACGTAATTGTGTTAAACTAGAACAATGGTGAAATTATTTTTTTTGTGACCGAAAGATTATGGTTCTAATTTGGAAAATAATCTTTTTATAATTATTTGTAAATGTAAGATTCTCTACAAGAATTGACTTCACCTCACACTTCATTCGTTGATAAACAATTTGTTGGATAATACTTAATATAATTCTCACAAAATATACATATTCCAAAATCAATACTATAATTAAACAATTGTTTCTTTCGAATATGAGCTTCAAGTTTTCAATCAACAACGGGTATGTCTATATATAGTACATATACGAACACATACTTCACAAGCAATGCATTTATCAAATTCAAAATTGAATGGATCTTGAAAATGATTTGATATGATTATTTTTTCATAAGGATATTGGATTGTTACGAGTAAACGATTTGTGTGGGATAAAGTAATTATCAATTTTTGATCAACTAGTTGAGTTTAATTGAGGAAGTGATTTTAAATTGTGTTAAAAATTTGATTGGAAGAGCTTTATTATCCTTGTGATTATGTTCAGTTCGATTGGATTAATCAATAAATGGGTGGAGATTTCTTAAAAAGAAAATTTAATGTTAATATTTTGTTTTTGGTATACTATCATGATTATTTCTTTGAGACGAGTCAATTTTTCAGATATCTTCACAAATTTCAACTCTTTAAGCCGATTATAAAATTAATCTCGATTTGAGACTTAGTTATAACTAAAAATTTTCACCCCTCCCTAAAGATATATTTGATTGGAATTGAATTTAAATTTTCTCCCAACATACTCAATTTATATGGCCAACTGAACTATGGGTAATTAATACTAATATTTTATATTCTCACCGTCATTAATTAGTTGCAGCCTTATTGTTGTCCATAACTACTACCTTGGCGGATCTAATGCTCATTAAACAAATAGTTAATGACTGTCCCTTTCTAAACCATCCTTCTATTATCAATTAAAAGGGATGCAACTAGAGGTGGCAATATGGATTGAGCTCGGCGAGTCAATTTACCAATCCATCAAAATGGGGCGGGTGGGTTGAAGTTTTCAACCCACCAACCCACCTCAACCCGCCCCGCCTAGAAGTGGGTCAAAACGGGTTCAACCCGTCGCGAGACAGGTTGACCCGCTAAGTTATAATTTTTTTTTATAATTAGATAGTATTTCATTAGTCCTTAAATTTTTGTGATATCCAAATTTTTTTTTATCTTAGTACTTCCTAGAAAAAATAAAAAATAACAATTTTATTTATGACAAATATTATTTATATATAAATTCCTAAAGAATATTTGACAAATATTAGTATACATTTAAGATTGAGACTAAAATAATACAGAGAAGTGTGAAATGAAATAAAATAATATTAGAAAAATTCATAAAATATAATTTATTTTTGAATTTTAATTAATTTTTTTAATTGACGGGTTGGTGGATTGACCCGCCAACCCACTATAAAACGGGATGAATTTATTTTTTTAACTCATATTTTTTGACAGATCAACTCACTCAGCTCCGTTTTTGGCGAGTTGGTAGCAAAGTGGGTCAATCCAAATTACCACCCATGGATGCAAACACATCTAATTTCACATCAACGCCACCGCCTAGTTATATCACCTCTGTCTGTGACGACTTCAGCTTTTGTCAATTAGTAACCATTGTCCAACTTATATTATCCAATGATACTAACCATTGTCCATTATGTTGGCTGTATATTTCTTTATAATAGTAATAAATTATAATCATGATAAATTATGTACCTACTTTTATATATATTTTCATTTTTTAATCATTTTTCATGGTTCGTAGATATTTCTTGTTTCGTTCTTAACTCGTAAGATCTGGATACTCTTGGATTATAGATCAGTTTCATTTTTTGTGGTATCATCATCACCAGTGAAATAAATTTATACCTGTGTTATTACATATATTTCTATATAATTTATTAAAATTAAATGCATAAAACGAGAATTCTGGTACTTCTGAGCTCAAACAGCGAACATTTTGTTAGTAAGTATTTTCTATTTTTATTTTTTATTTTTTTTTTGGTACATTTCCATGAGGTATCTCTATTCAACCTTCTCCGGACACCATGCCCTCGGGGGTACGTACGGCCAGTTTGGGCTAGCCCCTCATTGTAGCAGTGGGTGCACTAAGCTTCGCAACCGGAGAAAGGGACTAATCCCCCAACCGAAGATTTTTTGACTTATCTTTTGATCCCCAAAAATTTTTCAAGAAACTGCTTGAGGCAGAGTTTGATCCCTGCACCAAGCAATCCCTTGGAAGCTCAGCTGCCAACTGAGCTACCCTTTGGCTTATCATATAACAAATTACCACAGTCCACAGCATAATTTTATAAATTGTGGTTGTTGATTCGATTTCCAAGCACCAAAGTTAAATATAAGAGTATTCTATTTAATATAGGATTTGAGATTAGTGGTATTACATTCCTGGTCGATATGTTAATTGTCGAGATTAATGGTATTTATAGAAAAGATATAGGAGCAAATATTAATGGCAAATCATTATGTACAAACAAGGGGCCTGAAGTCAGAGAGTAGGTCTATGCATAATGACAGTGAAAAATAGGGTTTCAGAAATATATACATATGGTGTTTAACCCTTTGTTTATAGACAAGATTTACGTGAAGGTAAGAGAATTTGGATAGGATTCAAACTCTTTAATGGATAAGCCAGGTCCATGATGTATAATTTGTATTTTGAATTACGATTGGCTTGAGCCCTTATCTTCTAGGGCATGAAGAAATGTGAGTCCAAAACAAAAATTAATATTATTAATAATTTTATAATATGAGAAACATATAATACTATACCATTCGATGAGGTTAACTCGCATGCATTTTCCTTTATCCACTTCAGTCAAAGATAGCCACTCATGTCGGGTTGTTCTTCGTTATTTGGTATATGTAAAAAAAACTGACATTAAAAATCAACATGCTATAACAGAATGATTATGAGAAATTTGAAAATAATTAGTATATGGTCTGTGAAACTCGCGGGCTATTCTTTACTTTATATTACATTTTATATTAGGTAAAAACAATAAATAGATTCGGAATGTTCAACGCAATGGAAGAATTAATTAATTTGCTGCGAAAACCGGGATGCATGGACTCACTAATTCAAAGAATTAGGTTTATGCTTTGAACGGCCTAGAGAATTTTGATCTTTGCAATTCTAGAATGAACAAATTTCAACTAGATCATTAAGCTTGGCTAATTTTACTGTCATATTCGAAAAATAATCAAGCAAATATTAGGAAAATGAGAAGGAGAATTTAGCGCTCGCAGTTCAGATTTTACTTTCGAGGGAATGATGATCTTCACAAGATTATCCAAAGGATTTATATAGCTCAAAGAAGAATGCTCTTTCTTGGAGAATTTCAGAAAGATTTTCACGCACCCGGAGAGCTTAGATCAAAATGTGTGACGTAAAAAAGTAACTTAGCTTAGTTTAAACTGAAGATTATATTT